CCTCCAGCAACCGCCTCACCGCCTACGGGGCCGTGCCACGAGACCCGTCCTCCGTCGGCCCTCCACTCTCCGAACGACTTCTCTCGACACCCCCCCGGCCCGTCTCCCTCTCAGCATCCGCTCCAGCGCCAGGGGCTCCTGGCGCCCCTGCCCGCACCCCCCCATCTCGGAGATTCTCAGACACCCCTCCAGCCGACTCTTTTTCGTCCAGAGCACGTTCCTGGTTTCCTACCGAGGGCGCTTCTTCCAACGGGGTGGACTCTTCTGCTTCCCTGGGGGCGGGTGGTGATACCGTCTCCGGGCGAAACTCCGGCCCGTGCAAACCAGGAGAAGCCCTTGGACCGTCTAAGCGAGCAGGCGCCCGTTGCTCGGTTGGCGTGTCAGCAGACCCAACGGAAGGGAGAACCGTTTCCGCCCGCTCGTTCCAGTCTTCCGTCAATTCATCCGGCATCTGGTCTTCCGAACGTCTCTCAGCCCCTTCTTTTCCGGGAACTGGGTCCCCCTCCCTTTCTTCCTCAACCCGGGACAACGGACCTTCCTCATCAGAACGAAAAGACCCGTTCTGAATGTTTCCGATGCCAGCTTCTCCCGCTTTCTGCGTCCAAAGGAGCTCAGCAGACGTTGCACCCCCCCCTTGAGGGGATCCCCGGAAGTCGGCCGGTGTCAAGAACGGCAAGACGCTGTAAGACTCCGACGGCCCTATCGCACTCGGAGGCTTTTCTGACACACTCGGACCCACAGACGCCGCTTGCTCCGCACCTGCTGACGACGCCCCGGCGCCGCTGACGCCATCCGCTCCCACCGGCGCAACGCCATGCACGGGCGCTTCTGGGGGCATGCCCTCCGGAACCGCCGCGACCGCACTCTCCGGTATTGGTTCCCGCTTCTCCTCAGCTCTTGGCCCTTCAAGCGATCCGTGGGCTGCTGACGTGGCGGTTCCTGGTTGGCCGCCTGCTGACGTGGCAGCTCCAATTTGGCCGCCTGCTGACTTGGCGGGTTCTGGTTGGCCGCTCGCCGACGTGACCCCTTCGAGTTGAGCGCCTGCTGACGTCCCCATGCCGAACCCGTCCCTCTCAGAAACTTTTGCCTGCTGGTTCGTACCCGCATCAGCAGTCCATGCGGTAGATTCCGTTCGCGCCCCTTCCCGCATTTCCGTATCCAAACCCGCGCTTTCTTTCTTGCCAGCAGAGCTTGGTCGGGACCCAGGCGCCGAGGGGGGGCGTCCGTACGGGGTCGGGCTTGCCCCCCGTTGCGGTCCGCCAAACAGTAGCCCAATTGGCTTATCCTCTGCGTCGTGATCGTCGCCCTCAGAAGGGGTGATCGCAAGGTTTGTTCGACTCCCCACCAGAGAGATCTTTATCGCTGGGGGCCCATTTGCGGTGACCGGTGTGAACGGGGACGCTAAGCTGAGAGGCGGCCCTGTTTTCAGGACTGGTGCAGGGCTCGCACTGGTCTCCGACTTCGCAACCGCCGACGCGGCCCCCAGCAGGGCCTCCGGTTTCGCCCCTGCCGCAGGGAGAATCCCGGGCCCTGTTTTTGCGGCCGTTGCTGTCCGGGGAACAATTACTTCAGGGGGCTTGGGCTGGCCTCCGCTGGGCTTCTCTTCCTCCCCCACCCAACCCCGGCCGAACTTGACCCCCGGGGGGAGGATTTTCTGCACTTTGGCGACCACTTTAGCCCACACCGGGTCTGGCAAGTTGGCCGCAAAACGGCAGAGGCTGCGCGCGTACGCGTAGGGGGGGTGCCATCCGGTCTGCAATGAGGAAGTAAAGACCAGCCTTAGCATCGGCATGCTTTGGGGAAGTGCGGGAAAAAAGGTAGCTATCTTGTTGTGGGGTTGTAGATAGCTTGCTACACGGTCTGCATGCAGTGAGCACTTTCTTGAAACGAGAGTGAAGCTTTCGTCTTCAACCAGTGATAAGCGTAAGATGGGTCCACGATAAATACAAGCAGGAGAGACTCATTACGCAGTGTACGGACAAACGTTGCACCCGACGTGACGGTGAAAGACCTCTGATTCGACATCCGTTACAATTATCTTACTCCAGAAATGACTTCAAACGCTCAGTTTCTGGCAGAGCTGCTTCCGTTCCTCAGAGCGTTGGAGCCAGCACAAAAACGTCTTCAGATCCACTCACCGGAACGAGAACGTGCGACTCCCCCCCCGGAGCGCTCGGCTTCGGCCCGTGGCCCAACATCGGGAGCTCCCGCGCGCGGTAGCTGCTCCGCTTGTACTCTGCCGAGGCGAGCGGTAGGCGCCCGTCTTTCGGGCCCCAGAACTCCTTAGTCTTGCGGTAGCCTGCAACGGAGCGCGGATGACGTCAGCATCTGGCTTTTATACTTATGCATGCCTTTATCTTAGTACCGAAGCTCATTGAGAATCTTTCGAAGAAACGTCATGAGGCATGTTGGGACGACAAAGCTCACGAAGTCCTCGCAAGCAAGGAGAACCCACCCCCACCAAGCAGCTGGAACGTTCTTCCTTTCCAGCCATGGCTGCTCCGTTCACCTTTATAGAATCAAACAGCTGTGATTCTGAGCCACTTTCAGGATATCTGATAAGGTGATTCTAGCCGTGAATTACCACAGACATCCCACCTTCCTCCCCGACCAGGCCAACAAACATACAGGCTTCCGGACAGGAACAAAACAAAGAACCTCTGCCACGCACCTGGCACGTCCTCCCCAGCCTTTACATCCGACGTTGCTGCTCCAAATCATAAACCATAACCAAACAGCCCACGATCCGGCCGTTCCCTGCAAAGTACACGTACACATTTTCCACAAATCAAACAAATATCCCCCCAACGCACCTGGCACGTCTTCCCCATCGTTCGCGTCCGACCACGCCTGCTTCCCATCGTCCCCCCCCTTGCCACCCGCGTACTTGCCCCCCCCCTGCTTGCCCCCAAGCTTCGCCAACTCGTCAATGCTCAGCCCCTTTTGGATCAGCTGGTCTACTCCGGGGATGCTCGCGAGCTTCTGGCCCTTGATGCGGCGGCCCCCCCATCCCGCGGTGGTTTTCTTCTTGGGCTCGGTCGACGGCTCCTCCTTGAAGCGGGATGCGATCTGGCGCTTACGCTGGCCCGTGCCTGAAAGGGAATAATCCTTTTCGATTCAGTGAATACAAGCCCATGGAATAATACGCGCTTGTATGAGCAGCCGCACCCACTTCAGGCCTCTGACTAGCGCCACCCATCCCAGTACTTTCTTCTTGATGACAAATGGACCTTTTACTACACCGATCAGAATGGGAAAATGGATGCAACCCGTCGAGGATTCCCAGAACTTTCTTTCTTCATGTTCAGTGTGCATTTCACTGCACCAATCCGAGTGAAGAAACGGATGCAACCCCGTGTGTTGCTCTACAAATCAATCTCGGCGGTTCTGCTTTGATAGCAGGAAATTGGTGCCCGAAAGAATCAGATTGGGCTAGTCCGTTAAGAAAACACTCTGGTGGAGACAACTGCGACAAAAGCCTTGAGTTTGCCAACTCAGCAACTGTCCCGCTTAAACGATCATAATGAACTAGAAAGGATGAACAACCGACAACTACGCAAGGAGAATTTCGTAGCTGACTAACGTCCAGAAGATGGCCAAAGAGTTCGATTCAGACGATCCAAAGATCACACCTGCGCACGCAAACAGAGAAAAGGGCAGCTCACCGAGGGCGCCCCGCGCCGCGTCGATCACCTTCCGAGACGCCTCCTGCATGCTCTTGGCCGTCTTGTAGAAGATGGTATCGGGGGAGTTGTACTTTTGGGCGTTGTCAAACATCTGCAAGGGGGTAAAAGCGCGCTCTGTCTAAATGTCTGAGCACTCAGGAGCGTCCCAAAAAGTTCTATCTTCTGCCAAGCGACCGCAACCGGGGGGTGACAGAATCGCCAGTCGAGAGGCTCAAATCTGCTTGAAGGTAGTGACAATGAGCAACCCGAGTCTATGTTGAGAATGCGCAGCTAGTTAAAAGGCTGGAAGCACGATAACAAACAAATGAAGGAACTGATGGAAAATCGTAGTTGGAAAACGATCGTAGCTTCGTGCCAGCTTTGTCTTGTTCACAGGCACATAAATGGTGCTCTAGAGCAACAAGTGCAATGACAAGACCGGAGTTCGCCAGCTTGAGCACATCGAAGCCCAGAATTTCAAGCCGTCCAACTCTTACTGAAGTCCGGCGCACAACGATCAGGTAGTAAGATCGGTGGAAAAGCAGTGGCCAGACCTGCCGCCAAGAGACCGTCACAGATTGCGGCTTTGACCGACACGAAACCACATAACTACCACAAAATCGAAAAAAGGAAAAACAGGAAAAGAAAGGAAAGCTGGTGAACGAAACAAACACTTGGCAAAACCCACCAGCTCGACGTGCGCCTGGAAATCATCCCACGTGAGGTACAGCCCCTTCTTGAGCCGCTTCTTCATCGTCGAGAAGTCCATCGGGTCCTTGATGACGTCATAGTAGTCGAGCACGACGTCAGCATCCACCGGCTCCGCAAAGATCTGGTACGTGTCCTTCTTCTGCAGCCGCGCGATGATGTCGTCCATCGCCGCCGCCGAGGGGGGGGCCTCCTCCTGCTCAGAGTCTTGCCTGGAAGGGGGGGGGGGAGGTGGAGAAACACGGGTCACGCTTAGAAAACTCCGAATTAGTCTGGTTCAGAAGCTGGTCAAGCGAGTGGTTCAGAAATTGGCCAAGCTGATCGTTCAGAAGTTGGTCAAGCAGATAGTTTCGTATCAGAGTGTTGACAGCAGCCCTACTGCCACGTCCACTACCCTTTTGGGGCACCGCTCAGAGGACTCACATGCGCTCAGATCCCCAGCGGGCGCTTGCTTTACTATCAGCAACGCGCAGATGATATTACCACCAGACCTCACATTTTCCATCCATGACAAGCGATTTAAATCCACCGCCAGATTTATATCTGTCGGTACCATGACTTGCAGAATCATCATCTCAGAGGCAACCGTTTCACATGCCCATGCGTGCGGCAGAAGATGAGCGGAACACACTGCCACATGCGCCCGTGTTCTCTAAAGCTGCGCCACCTACCCTTGCTTCTCCTCGCTCAATCTGCTCCCGTCCACCTTCAAGCGCCCCTCCGCCGCCAGTCCCACCTTCATCTTCCGGCCGGCTGTCTCCAGCTTCCCCGTCAAACCCACCGACTTCATCTTGTTTGCCGAAGCTTTCAGTGGTGCAGCCTTCTCCCCCTGTCCAGCGCCATCCCCGCTTGCATTCAAACTCTTCATTTTTGCGTCCGTCTTCTTTGCACTCCCGTCCAGACTTTGTCCTGCTTTTCCGCTTGCATCCTGCTTCTGTCCATTCCCGTCCGTTCTGACTCCGCCGCTAGTTCCCCCCTCTCCGTGCTTGGCTCCAAACTGATCGCCCGCCCCATTGCTGCCAGGCTTAGCGTCCCCCCCGCCTGTCTTCTCCCGCTTCTCCTTACTCCGCTTTTTCTTCTTGGGGGGCCCCTCTCCGGTGTGATCTCCATCCCTCGACCTCTTCTTATCTTTCTTGCTGCGTTCCCCATCCTTGTGACTCCTCTCCCCATCCTTGTGACTCTTCTCTCCGTTCTTGTGACTCTTGTCTCCATGCTTCTCATCCCGCCTCTTCTTGTCCTTCTTATGTTCCCCGGACTTGTGCTTTTTGGGGGGCCGATCCGAGCCCTGCTTTGCAAGTGCTGCATCCTCCGGCCGGATCTTTTTAGGGAGACGAACCAGGATGGGGACAGCTTCGTCCCCAGCCATCACTTTGCTTGCCACCAATGGCAATATTCAAATTCAAATCCTGGACGCCACACAGCCGCTCATTTGCAAGCTCATCTGGCAGCCACTCTTGTGATTTTCTGGAATATTTGAAATTCAGAAAATATGATGACCCGATGCGATATGTAACTAGACATGGTATACCTTCTGTTGCGAAAACCCAGTTTGTTGGCTCGCGCTCTCACTGATGCCAGCTGGCATAGGCTTGCCGGACCATCCGATGCAGTTTCTGTACAGATTTGACGGACCGATGATGCCCTCAACGTTTGAGCGACGTATTCAGTGAAAAGCTTATTCTATGAGTCGCTGCTAGTCTTTG